GGGAGGTATCAAAGATCGTGCCTGAAGATAATGCTGTACAACTAGAAAAAAGGGGAGAGTCAATTGCGCTTCTTGTCGAGAGTGAAGCATAGAAAGGGGATTTAATTTTTTTGGTTTAGTACACATTTTTTAGTACTTTCGTCAATAGATTAGAAATTAATGTTGCACATTGTTCAAGAAAATAAAGAAAGTGTAGAAATGTGTTCACAAAAAATCCTTTGATTGGGCCTGAAAATGATTTCTTGCGCTTTTTAGATTAGCGTAATCTTTAGAAGCAGATTTGAACATTTTGGCTGATTTCTCGGATTTGCTGAATAATTGCAATAATTTCAGGTTAAGCGCCTACAGTGAAAAATATCTGGATGGAGATCCACCTTTGCCATTAGTCACTCTGTTACGACTGATCGATGCAGTTCTTGATGAGCCCGAGAAAGTGTTGTACTCGGATGCTTCACTTAATCAAATTCGTTTTGACTATTGCTCAAAATTTTATGAAGATAATGGAATGGAACTGATCACAAATGTACTCAATGTAAGTTTCCTGCTGTTGCATACCAACAATACCAAGACTGCCCGGACTACCAGTGTGGATGTGCCTTGTTAGTGATGTTACTGGAATGTTTACATATGCCGGAAACAGCTATGCCAAGTCCTTCGATCTTGAGCTGAATGCTTTCAGCTAGTACCTATCGCCTATTCGATATATACTTGCCACCTGTTCAAGGGATGCCCATGTGGTCGCTTACTTTCCCGTTGATCCCACTTACTAAACGGCTAATACACGGCTTATTTTTTCATTTTCTTACGAACACTTCGACCCAAAAGCTGTTGGGACTTTCATTCTGAACCCTTTAACAAATGCACTGTTATCCCAACTCTTGCTTGTCCTCTTTAGGATGAAATGCAGAAAATGAGTTTTTTGGGGCAAAATTCAAGAAGTGTGGTGCAGAATTTTGCGGTAAAGTCTAAGAGCTGGTAGAATATAACCAAAAAGGCACTGGAGTCATTTCGGAACTGCTAATCTTTACTTAGTAGCGAGGCAACAAGATAATTCAAATTTCAATGCTAAAATCTCGGAAAGATAATTTCTCCATGCCTTTCTGACTTTTGTCTTGCTACCTTCCTTTACTTGATGTGCTAAAACGTTTTTTTAAAAAAATGCGTTGCTTGTGAAATTTGATTCAAAAATGGGAAGGAAGGATATCTCAGGCAGAATAACTCTCGTAATACATGTATGTGACTGTCATACGTACAATGGCTTGTATAAATAGAAAAAGCTGTTATTGCTAAATGCGGAATACAAGGGCCAATAATGTAATGTTTGTCGCATAACAATTTGAAGGATTCAAAACCAGTGAAGAGGAGGAGTTCGATCACTCGCCTGTCAGAAGGGCTTCATTTGTGGCAGTGCCAAAATCTGATCCGCGTTGTTTTGTGAAAAGCTAAAATGTGCCACTGGATTAATTGGTTAATTTCGTTTATCAATCAGTTTTATTGTTGTTAATTTTTGAGGTTGCGAATGATGAACAAGGCAAGCGAGTGCGTGATCGATGCACATCACTCTCTGGCGATTTCTACATTTACTGTCAGTTCGTTCGTTCAGCCACCAGCATCCTTCGCAAAATGTTTGCCTCGTTGCATGCAATCAGACAGAATCCTGAAAAATCGGTCGTGTGGTCCCTGCTGAGAACCTATTCGCTGTGCTGCATGAATGAGCAGTGCGCCGATCGGATCATCAAAGGAACCATCCTGGAATCGTTTAGCTTTTTTATCACACCATCGACAGCACCTGCTTCACTGCAACAACAGCTTGGTGCTAAAACTACGCAGCCTTCTTTTCTGGGGCTTTTCCTAAGCACTGGATTCGAAGAGCCAGCGAATTTCTTCGCTACCGTAGATATTTGGCGACATATCCTACCACTGCCGTCGGCTTCACTGATCAGTGCAACAGGATTTGACCCTGAGAAGGCAATTTTGATGGACAAACTATGGAGCGCTAGTATTTTGCAATGTGAAAGACATTTGCACTTTGCTGTTTTGGTCAGTTCTAGTTTTGGTATAAATTTTCCAAATTTTTTAACCTTTTTACGAAAATTTTTTAACCTTTTTGCGAATTATTCTTTTCAGTTTTGCTATTTCCCGAATATTTCCAGCGAATTTTTTCTACTTTTTCTGTGTTTACTCTGAACGTCGTTAGTATGACTTTTTTGTTTCAATTTTTTGTTTTCAGCTAGGAATTTCATCATCACAACGATTGCGACGATGTTTGTACGACCTGTTGATACGTTTGGCTACAATTTCGGACGAAATTGCACTGCTTTTGGCCGAGTAAGTATTTCCAGCGGTTTGTGAAGGCAACCTTTAAGGAGGGACGAGAGCAACTGCTTTATGTTTTTTGCTGTTGCTTCCACTTTCGTTATTTTGTTGCGCTAGGCACTGAACTCATTTTACCAGTCGCTTTTTCATCGTAATAAGTGCCTTTAGCTTATCATAAGGCTGATAATTTTTACTTGAATGTATCTGATTAGAATTTCTTGCAGCTTTGTGATGAGCTTGCTGATAATCCCTGTATTCCCTCCATGATTTCCCTTTTCACATTTCTAAACTAGATCTCTCGCAAGTCGCTTTTGCGGTCTTTTATTTTTTTACGTACCTGTGCTCTCCAATTACAGGGGAGTTTTCCGAAAAATGCGTCCTTTAGAAATTTTCAGTGCCATCGGAATTGCGGTGCAAAGGTATCCACTGTCAGACTTGACGGCCATGCAATCTTTATAGTTTGAAGCTCCCGTAATATCATTTTTCTACAATTTTTTTATTTTATTTCCGCTTTCCCCTAAATTATTTGCATGTTTTCGAGCCATTATTTTGCTTCTGAGTATTCTCAAGAGAGAACGCCATAAACAGTTTTGTAACAGTTGGTTGCTGTTGGCATATACTACCACTCGAGCTACTTCTGTGTGTGTCTCAGCTTTTGCACAACTGCAAGAAATACCAGGGCCAGGAATTATTTTGCAGAATTTTGGTGAAGCAAAGTTTGAAGATGCTAACTTTTTCGGCATATGCAACAGTAGCTGATGCTTTTGATGAGGACGGGGTCGAGGAAGAGGAGTCAAGTGTGCGTTTCGGCGCTGCTGCTGACGTCGTTATTGCCTCTTTCTTCGCTTTTGTCGCCGCATGCTCTGTCGAATTGCCCATTCGTAAATCGTTGATTACGGTCATCTCACAGAGCAAGAACTATATCTCAACAATATTAAAGTTCTTTAAATTGGCAAGCCCGAAAACTTCACCTCACGTCACATTTCAAAGAAATGTTATTGTAAGTTTATAATTTCGATTTTTTAGAAAAGCCGATTCAGCGATAATGATAGTAAAGGTAAATAAAGTTAATTAGAGGGACTGCAGAAAGCAATACATGTAAAGAATCTGATATTTTAATATAAAATGACATATAATGTCGACATTTAATGTTAAAAGCCATCGAAACTAATACATGTGAAGAAGCGAACAATACCAGTCTGTTCGGTCACAGATTTGGATAAATGAATATGTGAAAATCTTTTTGTTCATTTATATAAAGCACAAAAAGAGGGAGTCGAAAGATTAATAGTCTTTTGTTCCTTATTCACCTTTTATCCCTTTTAACCCTTACTTTTTACATAAATACACATTATCTAAAACTAAAATGACAATAATAGTCGTCAGAGGGCTGTTGGTCGGTGAGCGTTTGAGAAATGAAATGGCAAATAGTCGGTGTGAACGCTGTATTGTACTGGTAGTTGCCTTCTGATGACGAAGTTTTGGCCTATTAGCTTTTCAAAGAATATGTAAAACAGTCATTTTGAATCAAGGAGTGTAACTCTTTTCCTATGAGTTCGGGAGTTATTAAACTTTTTTCCCATTTTTATGCGTTTTTTGCATCTGTGCAATGCAGAAAAAGCATATTGACGAAAGGTTGTCTGTGTTTGTGTGTGATACCGATTTTCCATCTTGAGATCTACAAAAGCCACAGGGACAAAACTTTGAAAACTTGATCTACGGGCTCGCCAAAGTTTTTTTCGGGTAAGTTGCTAACTCGAGAATCCGAGAAGCTAGAAGACTAGAATTTTAAAGGGATGTTCCACGTCCACGTAGGTATCATTGAGCTCAAAATCAGTCGCGGGGTATGCGTGGTTCCTATGTACGGGCCCATGAAAGTTTTTCACGGGTAAGTTGCTGACTCGGAAACCAGGAAAGCTAGAAAGCTGAAGTTTTAAAGGGGTGTTTTCAGACAGCCCTGGTGGCTAGTCTCAGTTATCTTAGCTAGTAGCATATGCCGGAAAAACCGGTGCCGTTAGCGACAAAAACTTGAGGGGAACTACGCAAAAAGTGCATTTTCACATCGACATACGGTGCGCTGGCCATTTGTTTAATAATATTTTGCGATGATTCAGCGTGAGACGATAGTTTGTTTCCAAAAAGGAATTTTGGCTTCGTACTTGGAACGAAATGGCCCTGTAAGCTTTTGTAAACAATAGTTTGGTGTACAATAATCGTTAACGAAAGTATTTTCAGAAATTATTTCGCAATATTTGCGTGATTGACAGCAATCACAACGGCAGAATTGCTCAGTTACCTCGTGATATCTACGTAACAGTATGCGATAGTCTTGTGGAACATTTTGGGAATGTCGAGCATGACATCGAAACGGCTGTGCTTGCACTCAAAGCACTCTGTGATATTGGCCGATCCTCAACGTTCGGGAATGTTGCTGTAGGTTTTTGAGGTTAAAAGCCTTGATCGAGTAAAGTTTTTGGGCCATGTGTAATTGAATTTGTGGAGCACAGTTGTTACGAATTTGTGAAATTATGAAATTAATTCTACAGAAAGTTGATATGGATGCCAAGAATACTAAGACCGCTCGGTGGGTGTGAGGATTTCATTTTAGTGATTTACTGGGATGCAACCCGTACAGCTTTTCCAATTTATGTCAGATCTGTGTTAAACTTTTCTGGATGAACATTTTTTTTTTTTCAGATCAGCAAATCCCTGCTGAGTCATCAGAATGCCCTAATGAACTTTGTTCATCGTTTGAGTGCGATGAATATGCCAAATGAAGAATTACTCCTCGAAGCAGCAGCATCGCTGACCGATCTCTTTGAGGACATCATAATGAAGGTAATTCAAGAAACAGTTTAGCTAAATTCTAAAGTTTTTTCAATTTTTTGTTTCGTTTTGATATGCATTATTTGAAGGTTAAACTGAAATTGTCTTCATTTTATGCCCTCATTAAATTCATGTATCTCAAACGTCTTTGATAAAGGGAAGGAAAGCTGATTTTCGTAATTTTTCTGCATACTTTAAAATTTTCCATTGCTGGATGTTGTTCTATTAAAGACGGACTAAAGTCTTCCACTTCCCCCATCTCTATATGTGTTTGTGTGTCCGTGCAGAAAGCGTGTGTTCGTTTGTGTATGTGTGTGTGTGTGCGTGTGTAGTTATTTGTATGCGTATTTTTATGCGTTTTGTGCTGTGTAACAGCAGTACAAAACGCATATTGTTACGGGTTTGTGTGTGTGTGTGTGTGTTTGTGTGTGTGTGTGTGTGTGTCCGCAGCAACTTGTCCGCAACTTTCAACT